GTCAGTAGCAATGTCCATCGACAGCATGGATCACCAGATCCTTCTGTGGTCAGAGTAGGAAGCATTATTCATCCTTCTTTTGGGACTGCAGCAAATTCCTGCACAGAAAACAGTCAGCTAGGAAAAAAAATGCATGGCTCGTGTAAAGCTAAATGGTTTAATTAAACATTAGATTAACTCTACCCCAAAGCCACCAGCAAAAACACCACAAGCATGTGCAAAAGACAGATGCCTGTGGATGGACCTACACAACCTTTTTCACAGTCTTTTATATAACATTAGTGCAGACTTAGACAAAAAGTAGTCTTGTTCTTTTCAAGCCAGCATGAAGTCCAGCCAGGAAGTGTTAGTCATCAGAGATTTTTGGTAGTTGTAGTTTGGAACCCCAACTGGAGTGTTTGCTTTGTACAGTGCTAAAAAATCTAAACCAAGAATTGGCCACTATCTCGGTCAAATCACATTTCTTTTCAAAATAGCTTTTGACTAAATTATCGCTATTAGAAGAAATTTTCCTTTTTACGCCCTCACAACACAAGACAAATGCAAAAGAAACAATCCTTCCCTCCTCCCCAAGGGATTGTAGCAACATTTCTTTTCAGTTAAATTTGGACGATTTCATATTAAAATGCATCCTGAATTGTGTTTTAAAGGGGGGGAAAAAAGGGCAAAATTATTATTTTTGTAACCAAAATAGAACAGATGTAAAATCTTTCTCGGGAGGTTTTTACCCTTTAGAATGAAACTGAATATTTTTCATGGGTTAGTCTGAAAACTGTATTTTACAATTTTGTGAAACAATACATGGCTTTCTCCAGCTACTGGCCATTCACAGTGATACACCCACCCTGTAGGTGTCTGTGTTCTGGCAAACTTTGGCAATTGCCAGTTTTGGCCAAATAAAAAGTATTTTTGCACATAAACAAGATTTGCTCCTACAATCAAGATGATTTTCTGCAATGCATTTAAGCAGCAAGTACAAAGGGTTATGTGTACTTTGAATTCCTGAAATGAATCATGGAAAACTCCAACATAATAAGGTGCTGTTATTAAGTGCTATACAGCTACAGTTGTTATAAAAGCAAAGAATAAATCTGAGGTGGTAAAATAAATCTTCAGCTGGTACAAATCAGCACAGCCCTGCTGAACTGATGAGAACTACACTGATTTTTTTACATGGCATATGGTTTATTCACTATACTGAATAAACTGTGGCACAGGCTGGTGAAATAAAATGGTTTGTCCCCAAATCCACGTTCTTAAGGCTCTCTTCAAGAAGGCCTTCTCAAGCATGAGATACAGGGTGGGGAACAGTGTAGAGGGTGTGGTGGTCAAAGGGTGCAACAGAGGAGACTGATGTGAATCAACTCGGAGCCCCCATGTGTGGGAACAAGTTTGGAGGCTCTCAGGTGAGTGCTGACCTCAGGTGGAGCTGAAGCACAGTCTGTCCTGCTCTCTCCTGGTTCCTCACTGCTCATTGTCTCCTCCTGTCCTGCCCGTGCTGCCTTCTCTCTCATTGATGTAGCTGTTTGTGCAGCCAGACGATCATCTGCCCCCCCAAAAAACTAACTTGGTAGAAGATGTGGCTTTAACGTGGGTCAGCTTCCTGATTCAGTTCACATCTCTGCTGGGAAATGGTTGAGGGTGGTGTGGTGGCACCTGGGACACCTTCTGTTGCTGGGAACACCAGTAACACTGACTAAAAGAGTTACCAAACATTACACCTGAAGAAGAGGAAATCCTATGTCCTCTGGTCAAATTCTCTTGCTTGTCAGTGCCCAGGATGCAGTGGGATGGGGTATGCTAGGAGCCTAAGGAAGGGTGAGAAGTATTCATTATTAGCTTTCCCACTCTGCTCCCTGCTTCCTAGATCACTCACTGTGTCAGTGAGAAGTGTCTGTGACACCAGGCCATCCCAGCTGGGCCTTGGTACGCAGGAATAATAATGTAGTCAATTCCCAGCAATGATTAAAGGTAACTTTTTTGGGAAAATTCTTCCTGATTTTGGTGGTGTGCTGCTCAGGATCACCTATCTCCTATGTACTAACACAGCAGCTCTCACTTCTGAGAGCCTGGCCCTAAATGACTGCACTGAAAGAGATCCCTCATGATCACTGCACAGTGCATGGTGTAGGCTCACAAAATCCTGGCCCAGCCTCTCCCAGTGAGGAGCATTTTATCAGGGTGTGATCTCCTTCCATTCCTGGCAAGCAGAGCAGTGATGTGTTACCTCAAAGGTGGATCTGCCTTAAGCACCGCAGAGTAACACCAACCCATGAGAAGTGAGACTTCAGAGGAGGTCGATTTAACTCAGGTCACAACAGGTATGTTATTCCCAGCTCTGCAAGCTTCTGCTCCAAGCATTAATTTGCTTAAAGAGTAAAATTATTTTAATCACAAATGCACCCTTTTCAGGCATGTTGCCTCTATTTTGTTCAGGATTTTGAGGAATTTCATAACCGTGCTCTTACATCATTGCACCCAGACACAATGTGAACCATTGTCAGATAAAGATGTTTTTTACATTTGCATAAGCGTGTGTAGCTTCCCTTTCTATTACCCAACGTTTTCCTTTTCCAATTATGAATGTTTCAAATCACGCACATTCCTCCGGGGAATGATAAAGACATCCTTAATTTAGGAAAAACAACGCTCCCTCATCAAAGCAGGGTGGTTGCAAGTTACCTGTTCCTAAATGATGATCAAGGCTATGTCAGAGTGTGGTGCAAAGCAGGGCACACAGGAGAGGTAGGATGCTTCCAACTACTTCATGGTAGGTCAGCTCCCCAGCATGAAGGACCCGAACAGCTTTGATTAGACACCAGCACGTTCCCGGACATTGATAACTCTCCTCATGGACTCGAGGGGAAGAAGTGTGATAGCAATGATCAAGATAAAGAAATGAGATAGTAGCTGCTGGTCTGATTGACACTGTGCTTGAGTGTTCTCACACAAAGCCCTCTCTCTGTGCCTGACATGCAGGCGCTGCATTCCCAACGCATTCTTGCAGCCTACACCACATCCCCGAACAATAGCCAGCCTTCTTTCACTCTCCTGCCTCCTTTCTGTGAACAGCTCTCCGTTGACAACCGAGTCTGTTCTCACTCCCGAAGAATTCAAAAAATTGGACGATATAAGGACAGACTGTGACTTCCAGGAGGCATCTTAAAGCATCCTATTTTTAAAGTTGTGGTTTGGTGCTTCTTTTTCTGTTTTGTTTTCTGTTTCAAAGGAAACCTCCAAAAATGCAGTTACCCCGCAAATCCGTCCTCAGACCGGAGAGCTGCTCTGAATGCAGCACCACTAATAGCTCTAAAATGCAAATACATGGATGACTTTCTCTGTTTGACCATTCCAGAACAGCCTTTCCCCTCTAAACTTTAATGTTAATGTTGAGTGCCAAACTGGCAACCCCTGTGCAATCGAAATGTTTGCACAAGAAAAATAGATGCGGTGACACTGGTTTGCTTTCCTTGCCAATCAGACCCAAGCTAAAATGGACAGGAGACACGTAAGGTTAAGAAAGTCCAGCCTTCCTAACACTTATGTCAACTTTTGTTCCCAAAGAATAATGAGTTTTGGTCAGATGGGAAGGATAAATGTCAACAATGTGCATCTTTCTCTCCTTCATCACACATGAGCAAACCACGCTCCCCAGGACAGCCCAGTGGCTGACAGTGAACCAAAACCAACAGAAGAGATGAGAAATCTCTGTCCTGAACTTGCTGGCATGTTGTCTCTTTCTTTGGTTGGTGATACACATCTACACCTGGGGAGTACATCCCATAAACCATAAGCACTTATAAACCAGGAGAGGAGAGGAGAGGAGAGGAGAGGAGAGGAGAGGAGAGGAGAG